TTCCACGTAACATCATTAGTTGTACTAGTCAACAAATTAACTTTAGATTCAAGTCGAGCCTAATATACGCGCGACGCAGAGGATCGCAGCCGCCGCCAACGAAGACCCAAACTTCCGTTAGAAGCCGTTAAACGGCTTTTCGAGCTTAATTTCAACCTACATCTCAAATATGTACCTGAAATCTCTCTGTATATAGAGAAGCTCAAGAAATTTCCATTATTTTTTCAAAATTCTCAGCTCACCAAAATTCACCGATTTTTATTTATATTTCTTTGAAATGACGAATTTCGATAAAAATTAGGGTTTCTTTTTTTGGGGGAATTTTCTAATTTTTCGTTCGATGGATACTGCGGGAACTCATAAGCAATCATTTGGTCAGACGGAGATCAATTGGGATAAGTAAGTTCTATTAATTTGATTAGTATTTGTTGCATTTTTTCATCTCCGGTTCAATGGATAAATTGGGATAAATTTGAATTTGAATTTGAATTTGGGATGAATTTGAATTTGGGTTCGTGAGATTAGTTTTCTCAATGATTTAATTTATGAATGGAAGTGCGTCTTAAGTTAATTACATTTTTGTGTTTTGCAATTAATTTATCTTTTTAAGTTTGCCTATGCTGTATGTGAATTTTAAAAATCAGGTAGATATAGCCATAGTTGTTTCAGGTGAATTTTTTACATTTTAGGAGAATAAAAATAAATAAATAAAATCCTTATATAATTTCTGGGCAGATGGAAATTGGATCAGTAGAATAATTTTCCGTCTACGTTTCGATTCTTCTAATTTCTATTCAAATACCCTTGAGTTGTGTATTGCTTAATCGACTGTCGAATTGGAAATTTTGCGTTCATTGAGTTGCCTGTATAACTGTTTCTCCGTCAGTTGGATGCAATAAGTAGTTATTTTCACTCGCAGGCTCAACAAAACCAAGTTCTACGTTGTTGGAGCTGGGATTTTTAGTGGGATCACAGTAGCGCTTTACCCGATTTCAGTTGTGAAAACGAGGATGCAAGTTGCTTCACACGACTCTGTAGAACGAGGTGCCGTTTCTGTGATTAAAGGCTTACTAAAAGCGGATGGAATTCCCGGTTTGTACAAAGGATTCGGCACTGTTATAACAGGCGCAATTCCCACCAGAATTATATTTCTAACTGCATTAGAGACAACGAAAGTAGCTGCTTTTAAGGTTGTCGAACCTCTCAAATTGTCTGAGCCTACACAAGCAGCTTTGGCAAACGGAATTGCAGGCATGATGGCATCACTATGTTCACAAACCGTGTTTGTTCCAGTCGATGTGGTATGCTTCACGTATTTTCATCTCGTTTATTTTGTCCATTGAATTCCTATTTAATTTGGGCTTCGTTTGGTTCCTAAGTATTAGAGCCAAGATTAGAGCCATTTTTTCCACAATTACGGGCCGACCCGAAAAATTATTGGACTAACCAAACGTCCAATAAGGTTCAATTGTTTAATTAGTCATGGTTATCGTCACCAACCAAACGAGGGCTTGATGTATGAATTCATCATGTCATCCTCTTGTTAGTTTTTGTCGAGCTTTTTTTTTCCGTTAATATATATTGGAAATTGAAACCACGTAACTGATTTCTGTTAAGGTAAGTCAAAGATTAATGGTGCAAGGATATTCAGGCCATGCGAACTATAACGGTGGCATGGATGTTATTCGTAAGGTTCTAAAGACTGATGGTATTCGTGGATTATACAGAGGATTCGGTCTATCTGTTATGACTTATTCCCCGACTAGTGCTGTGTGGTGGGGAAGCTATGGAGCAAGCCAGCGCTTCATTTGGAGGTATTGCGTTAAACTTCGGGGTTTTTTTTTTCAAATTCATCGTGTATAATAGGTTTTTTTTTTTTTTTATATTTGCCAGAGTATCGGATGATGTAATTGCAACTCCAAGCCAAGGGAAAATAGTGTTGGGTCAAGCTGCCGGAGGGATTTTTGCTGGTGCCACTGCGTCGTGTATAACAACCCCGTTGGACACTATCAAAACCCGTTTGCAGGTAAACCCTATTTCTCTTTACTCCATATTTTAAAACTAAAGCATTTCTACATTTTATTTTTATTTTTTTATATATTTTTTTTATAATATTAATCCAGGTAACGGTGAACGAAAAAAGACCTACAGCAAGGCAAGTAGTTAGAAATTTAATTGCTGAAGATGGATGGACTGGATTTTACAGAGGACTTGGCCCTCGATTTTTCAGCATGTCAACTTGGGGAACTTCGATGATTCTAGCCTATGAATATCTCAGTAAGTTTTGAAGCCTGTGACATATCTTCTTCAATCGGAGAATTTATTTTTACGATTGGTGTTTGCAAATATTAAAGAAAATTTCGTCTCAGCTGATTCTCGAGCTAGAATTGATATTTGTCTCGTTGTTTTTTTCACTGTGCAGAGCGCTTGTGCGCGAAAGATGAATAGGCTCGTCGTCACACAATGTTCTAAAAGATTTCAATTTGACCTGTCATATAGAGATTCAACTTTGGTGAACAGAAAATTACAGAAAAAATGTTGGCTTTATTGATGAACAAGTTAACTGAAATATAGGCTTCGATTATCGCAGTGGAAAATTCGACAAACTTGGCAGCAGAATTTGATTTTTTTTGCCAAATTGAAAATATTTGGCTCCTTGATTCTTTTCAGTGGATACTCAGGTTTTTAGTTATTTGTAATGTTGTATAATTGATCAAAGAATTGTATGTTGTGTAGTTCCACTTCTAAGTCCTAATGCTATAGGCTATGTTTGGAAAGATTTTCAAGTCCCATTTCACTTTGTTATATGGGGTTATACAAGTAATTTAAGAAAATAATTTGAGAAATAAATATAATGCTTGTTTGTATTTTTGAATTGTAAATTAGTTGACAAATTTTATTTTAGTGTCCCTTCGTAAAATTAGGATAAAGGATTAATTACAGTCAACCCTGAGGTAAGGTCAAATTACGAAAAAAAAAACCCTCATGTTCAAGTAATTACAGTCACCCCATTATTGTATCAAATTCACCATAATCTTCTAGATTCTGTGGAAATTTTTTTCCTAATTTGTTTTGTGCAAAAATGCAGTTTATGATGCATCACAATCTGATATTTCCAAGCCAAAAGACACCTTATAATCATCCTGTTTCAAAATGTGGTGCTCAAATTGTAAAACGATTACAAACTGGAGAATATTCCACATGATCCATAAGATTCCACCAAATTTGACACCATGAAGGTTGACTGGAGAATATTCCACATGATCCATAAGATTCCACCAAATTTGACACCACGAAGGTTGACGTATAAGAAGATTCATAGTTAATTGGTGATTGAAATTGCCCAAACATGAGAATTTTTTCGCAATTTGACTTTATCTCAAGGAGGTGGCCATAATTTACCCATAAAATTTATTTTATGCTTGTTATTTGGAATAGGTGTACTTTAGAAGGATAATTTAAAGTAAAATTATATGTTCGTATTTTAGCGTTCGTATTTCAGCCGGCGGTCAGAGTTCTGGAAATTATAAAAGGCTTACCAAACACATACCTTAAAAAACGGTGAAAACGAAAAGAACTGAGGGTGTAAAGGGGTCATTTTGATCACAATTGGTTTCGGCATTATGTAATTTTTATTCACTCCAATAAATACAGACTCTATTCTTTCAAGATCTTGAACAAGCAAGCAATTTTGTTAAAATGTTAAATAACAAGATTATTGTGCCAATAATAATACTTCGAAACACAAGATTAATTAAGGCCCTCTAGATGTAACTTCGGCAATCAACTGTCGAATCTGGAAATCGAGATCTCGTTACAAAGAGCACAATGTCCTAAAGCTCAACTATAACAAAACAAAATTGTCCCTCAAATATTTTTTTTACTTACCAACACTTTGGGGCTCGTCTTCATCGCTATAGTCATCTTCCTCTTGGTTTCTTCGGAATTCTGCAAACTCTTCAAATGACGGTGTGGTGAATAATTCACCAGCCTCAGACTCGTTATCATTGATTTGATTTGAAGCTGAGTTAGTTTTTCCTTTCTCCATCTATCACATATTATACATTACGTGAGCAAGCATTAAACCTTCATGATAATAACAAAAATAATCACCAGAATTATGTAATAACAAGATTTGCTTTTCGTTTCCTGTATACTCAGTTTTTCTTCCAAATACAAATTATTGAGGCAGTTTTGAATTTTGAGGTAGAAATTACGGTTTGAAATAATTATTTAGTTTTCTGATGAAATGGCCGACCACGGAAATATATTTCGAGAATCTTCGACCTCTTCGGAAGTACCAGAAATTATCCAACAATCATATTTTCAAGATCCCTCGTAAAAATACATATACACTATACAGTATACGGTACCAAAATAATGCTCAGAAAAGAGAATATAACATACAAAATAAATCGGGAAAAAAAAAAAAAATCCAACAAAAAACTTACAGCTCTTAGTAAGGATCGCCTATCCCTCTCCCGAGCATTCTTGATTGCCTAAAGCAGCAAACAATTGGTAAGTTTCTAACTCAACTAACATGAGTGATTATACTGAAATCGAAACCAAAATAATAGCTTCAACTGCTAAAAATAATAAAATGAAAACCTCGTCTAATGTCTTCTTCTCAGCTTCTACTTCCGAAATATCTCTGCAGGAGAATAAATACAATATTAATGCATAAACTGACTGCATCCGCTTCAACATTAACCAATTCATCAAAAACAAAAAAAACTTAATTTTTGATCAATCTTTCTCGATTTTTCTAGCATTTCGAAAGAAATTAACTGCAAAATGAGAGGAAAAAGCTCATACCTTCCAATTGTATTGTCAACACGGCACGAACATTTGGCACAGATCTTATGCTCTTTTGCACAACCTACACACATTATTCTCCATAATTAACAACAAAAAAAGTACCCCCAAAAACAAATTGATTCTAATATTCCATTTTCCGAAGGCTAAATCACGAAAAACTATAAGCAAAATAAGATACAGTAAAAGTGTAGTAAACAGTTTCAGAACTAAAAAACTAACCATGGCAGACATTGTGATAAGCTTGACGAACATTCCTCTTAGTACACCGCTGGCTGTAATTAATTTCGCAAAAATCAATTAAAATATAATAAAATAAAATAATTAACCGCAAAATCAATCCAAAAAAAAAAACAAAGGATTACCATTTGGCAGGTTCAGTAAGGAGCTTATATTTGCCGTATTTTCGTTTCCAATCAATCTGTTCTTTGCAGCGATAACAAACCCCTGTTATTTCCGAATACGGCCTGAATCTCCCGCCGACTTCCTACAATCACACACACAAACACGAATCGGAGAAATTAGATATACAGAAATTACAGAGAGGCGAGGTTTTAGTGTGTGTTTTTCGGAAAGAGAGAAGGTAGTTACGGTGGGGTTGATGGTGACGCCGCCGTGAGGTTTCCAGGCGAATTTGTTCTGGTGCTTCGGCGGACCTTTACGGCTGCTGCTCATCTTCGATTTTGAAAAACCACCGCTTCAACCGTGCCCTTTTCTGTGACCTAACTATTATCAAATATATATATATATAATTTAGTCACTGAAATGTGTTAATACAATTAACCAATTCTTAAAACTTTTATAATCTTTAGAGTAAAAAGCAGTTTGCCCCCTAAACTAAGGGCCGATTTGCACTTTACCCCCCAAACAAAAAAAATTTGCACGTTTTTACCTAAACTCGTTAATTCGTTGCACGGTGCCCCCTAAACTCAATTTTCCGGCAATTTTGACCGGAATATTAAAACATGTGCTTTGCACGTGAGATTTGGAGGGGTAAATTTGTCCCTTCACTTGCATCTTTAATATTAAATAAAAATAAATATTTAAAAAGAAAATAAAAAAGAAAAAAAGAAAAGAAAAATAAGTTGTATCCATCACCCACCTTCCTTCCCAAACCCAATCCATCCCTGCACAAAAAAATCTCAATCCTGCACAAAAAAATTACAAAATTCTCCGACGACCACAGGCAACATTCTTCGGCGAATAAACAACAGCAGCATCCATCTTCGATAATTGGTGCACTTCATCTCCTCGGCGGCCAGGATTCAGTTCAAATAAAATGTATAAATCATATTTTGCTCATAGATCCAAAGAAGAACGCTGATGAGATTAGGATCTTTCACGTTGGAGGAGCATAGCCGGAGATGGTGATTTATTAAAATTAAATTGGGGAATATGGGATGAAGATCGATGAGATGGAGAAGTGGAGAACAGCTGCGTGGTGAGGGTGAGCAGTAAGCGAAGGACAACAGAAATATAGTGGAGTTTTGGCTGCCGACGAAATTGAGCGGCGGGTGGCAGAAACAAGATGCTAAAATTTGGGCAAGATGTCTTCCACAAGCTGTGGGCTGGAATTTTTTTTTCCAAATTTGATGAAGATCCCTCTTCTTCAATCTTCTCTTCCTAATTTGCTCCCCTCCCTCCGCCTGCCCTGCCGGAAAACGCCGCCGCCACCTCCTGTCATGACCCATGACGGTGACGGCGGCGGCAACAACGGTGGCGACGGTGGTGAGTTGAAGAACGGCAATAATTTTGGAAGTGAAGTGGGATTGAGTTTTGCAGCTGGGCCGAAAACAAGTGGGCCGAAATTTATTAATGAGTCGGGCCCAAGTGCAATTGGAGATTGGAAGAAATTAATTAAATATTTTAATTGTTATTTTCAGATTTTAATTATTATTAGATGTTTTTGTTATAAGGGTTGGACGAGTTGAATGAAAGGCATGAAGCCAATTTTCAGAATCTCTCTCTTATCTCTGTATTCTTCTTCTTCCCCAAGTTTTCTTCCTCTCTAATTTCTTCCCCCAATTTCTATCTCAATTATCAATTTAATTTCTACTTTTATATTATAATTAAACCATAAAAATACCCAAAAATAGCTGGGATCTTACACCTCCACACACGCAATTCCACTTCCAAATTGACGCTATAATGTCGAAAATAACTTCATTTTTCGGCAAATAAATGTCAATTTTTCCCCTTAAATTCGACACCTACCTGTTATGTCGAAATTTTTGAAAAGAATCGACACTTGTGTGTCGAATTAAAAATCGACATTTGTGAGCGGCGATGGAGGACTTTTTTTCGACGGCAATAGAGGACATCTTATACGGCGGTGATGGAGGACTTTTTTCCGGCGGTGGAGTCGGCGAGGCAAGTCGGTGTGTGGGCTTTACCGTCTTTTCCTAAAAACTGCCAAAATCATGTATAATTGACATTTTTCTGATTACAGAAAAATCTCTTAACAAAAGATGTCTTCAATTGCTTCAACCTCAGCAAAAATGGCGTCAATCGCCTCCATCAACAAATTACCTTGTAATTCCTTGAAGAATTCGTCTTAGAACTCTAAATCAGCGCCGATTGTTGCCTCGTGTAGCGTAATCGGGTCAAATTTCCGGCACTCTCGACGGCGAAGGTGAAGCGGGATTTCTCCGTTCGGTTGGTGAGCGACGATGAGTGGTGTCCTGACAGCGAGCCTTCCTCCGCCGGAGTGGCGGTTCTGGAGGAGAGGCCGTCAGAAATTGATGTGTTGAAGAAGCAATTGGTGGATTCGTTTTACGGAACGAACAGGGGATTGAGTGCTTCTAGTGAAACTAGGGCTGAGGTTGTGGATTCGTTTTACGGAACGAACAGGGGATTGAGTGTTTCCGGCAGTTCCTTTCTTTTTTCCTTTTTTTTGTACTTTTTTTTTTTTTGTAATATTTATTTTCATTTATTATTAAAGATGCAAGTGAAGGGACGAATTTACCCCTCAAAATCTCACGTGCAAAGCACATGTTTTAAGATTCCGGTCAAAATTGCCAGAAAATTGAGTTTAGGGGGCACCGTACAACGAATTAACGAGTTTAGGTAAAAACGTGCAAATTTTTTTTGTTTGGGGGGTAAAGTGCAAATCGGCCCATAGTTTAGGGGGCAAACTGCTTTTTACTCTAATCTTTAATTGTTAATAAAATTAAGGGCAAATTCCACTTTCTCCACTGTACTTTAGTTTGGTATCACTTTAACCCCTCCTACTCTCGATTACATCGATTTGTCCCTTGTAGTTTATAAAATTGTTTTAATGTGACCCTCTTAATTGTCCGACATTTGACCTAAAACTGTTTGGTCTAACGTCTGAAAATTACAAGAACGCCACCCCTCCCAGTTGAATTATTAAACAAACAAACAAAAAAAAAAAATTTCAAGACAACGAGAGCAACCACAATTTATTTTTATTATTTTTAATTTTTTTTAATTATTTAAACTTGGAGGAGTGTTTTTTTTTTTTTTTGAGACGTTAAGACCAAACGGTGTTAAGGTCAAATGTATGAAAATTAACATCGATGACCACATTGAGGCAATTTTACAAGTGCATGGTGGCAAATCGATGCAATCGAAAGTAGAAGGGGGTAAAGTGATATCGAGCCAAAGTACAAAAGGGGAAGTGGAATTTATCCTAAAATTAATATACTATTTAGGGTAAATAGCACTTAAGCCCCTGTGATTTGAGTCTTGTGCTCATAACCCCTTGTACTTTCAATATAAGCACATGACTCCCATGTAGTTTGAACTCTATGTATATAATCCCCTTGTACTTTTAATAGAAGTGCTTAACCCCCAAGAGAATATTTCACTTAGTAAATAATCATAATTATTAGGCTGATGAAAATTTTGAAAGTACAAAGAAATTATGTGCTTATATTTAAAATATAAGATAAATAATCTAAGATTGATTGTAATTATATCATTCAATATTTGTAATCTATTTTGTTTAGGAATAAGGAATATCGATAATCGCATATAAATCATATATTATTTTTTATAGTAGCAAATAAATAAATAAATAAGAAGGGTAAATTACGGCGACCCCTGATATAAGAAAATTATTAAAAAAAAAATTATTTTTGGGTAATACTAATAACTAATAACGATCACACATTAATTATGAATTATTGAATCTTCTCACACGGTCATTATTGCAGTGTCAAATTTAGTAGAATCTATTAAATTGTGTATAATATTCTCCAGTTTGTACCCCATTCAAGCTCCACATTTAGAAACAAAATGATCATAAGATGTTTTATTTGGCTTGTAAATATCAAATTGTTGGGGCATCAGAAACTGCATTTTTGCACAAAACTAGTACAAACTAGACAACATTCTACGGAATCTAGAAGGTTATAATGAATTTGACACCGTAAGGGTGTACGCAGGGTTCGCCGGAACGGCCGGAACGGCCGTCCCGGAACGGGAACGGTGCCCGCCGTTCCGGAATCCCTAACAAAACTGTTCTGCCCTCCCCGACGCAGCGGACCACCGTTACGGCCGAGACTTAGCCGGGAAACGGCACCGGAACGGTTCCGGAACGGTTCCGGAACGGCTCCGGAACGGAAAAATAATAATAAAAAAAAATAATAATTGGGAAAAACGAGACCTTCGACGGAAGAAAAACTGAAAAAAAAAAAAGAAGAAAAAAGAAAATTGGAAACGAATAATTGGTAAAAGAAGAGTTTAAATTATTTTTTAAATTAAAAAAAGAATTTAAATTAAAAAAAGAGACCCCACTAATCCCTATAATCCCTCTAATTTCCTATTAATAGGAGAAAGTAACAATAACTAAAACATGACTATAATTTATGTATTTAAGGAAAGGAAAATAGCAATCATACATATATTTTTTTTTACATAAAATAACAAATAAAATTGAAGACTATGATTCCTAAAAATGGAAACTAAACATCAAAATAAAAATAATAAATAAATATAGAAAATTCTAATATATATACTATTAAAATTTTATTTAACTTTTTTTATTTTCAATATTATGTTACTTAAATATAATTATTTTAATTTGAAATTAATTCATCACATAATATGTTTTACTACAGATAAATATAAATATGTGTTTTTATTTTTGTTTTTAATTTTTTTTAAATCTAATCTGTGTGTATATATAAGTTTTTTTATTAAAAAAAGAAAAGAATTGAAAAAAAGAACCAGCTCGGCATGTGGTATTGATATTGCATGTATTTTATAATGTTAATGCAAGGTTGTTGTAATATTTTTTTTTTTTATAATTTTTAATAATTTTGGCATATTTTGTAATGTTGGTATTAAAAATATATTTGAAATAAATTATATTTTTTAGATTTTAATTAAAAAAAATCTGTTCCGGCCGCGCGGAGCTGCGACGGAACCGCGAAGTGGCAATGGAACTGGAACGGCAGTGTCCGCGACAGCCGACTGTTCTGTGCCGGCGAACCATGGGTGGACGTGTAAGAAGATTCATAATTGAGGGAGGTGATTGTAATTATCCAAACAAAAGAGGTTTTTTCATAATTCAACTCTCCATCAGGGAGTTGGCCGTTAATTACCCTAAAAATTTACGATTGTTTTAACAATAGGAATTCTGTTATTACCATCTTGCATCAAATTATTAGAAGATTATCAAATACAAATACACACGAGGATCATAAGAGAAACACGATTACAGTAGTGCGAGATATATAAAAGCAACGAAAAGTCAACGGAGATCGATGAACGGCCGGCGCCGGAGAAATCATGCAGAGGTCCGGCAGAGGTGGCTGTAGCCACAGGGACGTTTATCGTAGAACTTATTCGGTCTGCCGATGCAGCTGCCGGCCACATCCCCTCTGCAGAACGGCCTTTTCGGATTTAACGCCCTCGGACTGATGAATCTCTGGCCGCCGGCTAATAACCTCCTGCTCGTCTCCGATTCCATCAGATACTCCTCGCCGGCGGTTAGGCAGTCGCCGATTCTGGTGGAGTTGCATCCCCATTCCGCCGCCGCCGCGGCGGTGGTAGTGGTGGTGCCGAGGCATTCGGTTTTCTGCACGTTCGCGCTGAGGAATATAAACAGTACGAGCGCGGCGGCGGCGGCGGTTTGGGGTTTCATTGCGCGGCGGCGGCGTTAGGGTTTGTTAGATAGCTGGAATTTGGGGGTTTGTGGATCAGAGAATGGTGAGAAATGTTTGCGGATTTTTATCTATTTAATTAATTATGGCGAATATGGAAAGGTAGTTGACGCAATAACTGAGTGTGTGGTATGATCTCTATCTTCCACAACCCCACTCTGCTATTCTGCATATGGGGTAATAAAGGAACTTGATGTAGGTAGGGGGGGTTTCATTTTTTTTTTATTATTATTTTTTTTTTGTCCCTCTTGTGATTTGGGGTTAAAATATAATGGAAAATATATTAATTATGTATAATTGAGATTTGTTTCATAGTATTCTCATGAGTAAACTCAAGATCAACATGCAAAATGTAGTTAAGAGTTAAAGAGTTATAGTTAAGGTAGAGAAGGTGGAGAGTTTGGAAGTTAGTTATTTTAACTACCTCTTGTATCTCTTATTGTAGCTCTCATGTAGGGGTGTAAACGGGTCGAGCTCAAGCTGAGCTAGCCAGATTTTTCGAGCTCGAACTCATTGAACTTTCATCAGCTATGAACAACTAGAGATGGGTTCAAGTTCGAGCTCGAACTTTTTTTGAGTCAATTCATCGAGCTCATGAGCCGGCTCAGCTTATTTACACCTGTACTCTCGTGTGAATATCTTGTTATTTATGGCAATGAAGGGTGTTTTCTTTTTTTGTTTGTGTGTGTATATATTATACGCTTCATTTAGTAAGATAATGGTTTACACTCGATACATATTCAATATATTTCTCGCTATATCAGGAGGAGTAGGAGTTTATTACTTGTTTAAAATAAATTTAACCAAACGTGCCTATTAGTACATAGTTATTTATCCTTAGATTAGAACTAACTAGTACGTAGTTATTAACTTCCTCAGTCAGCATCTGCCCAGGTTACTACATGAGTTACCATTATAATAGATACATATTATATATATATATATATATATATATATATATATATATATATATATATATATAATATGTCTAAATAATAGGTCATGCTTAATTACATCTATTACATGCATATTCAGCTGCTTGCAGCTTATTTTTTTTGTATTATAAGATTGTATCAAGTGTAATGTTGAAAATCAGATTAAATTTAAATTATTTAAATTTTATGAGGGGGTTAGTGTACATTTGTTTATAGTTGGATGGAAAAATGTTATCATGTATATCTGTAGGGGGCAAACTGTTAATTCTACATAAATTTGACGAATTGGATAAAGCGGGTAATTTTGCACTTCGAACCTTGGCAATATATTAATTATGCATTTTGAACCTTTAATAAAGAGGAAATGACAAAATTGCACCTGACTTACTCATTTTAAACAAAGGGTGCACAACACCTAATATTAATAATTCCAGGGTTCATATTGCAAAATATAATATCATAAGCAGAGTGTTCATTTGTTCGGTTTGTTGGCACTGGAGAGAGCACGTCAGACTCTCTCTCTCTCTCTCTCTCTCTTCGTCACTCTCTCTCTCCTCATATAAATAATGAGATATTTTGGAGGAATGGAGGAGAAGAATCGACGAATAGATACTCCGTTCAGGTAGAATTGGGTCAACTGATCCGCCATTGTTTTTTCCTGAGGAAGCAATCCCTAAATTGAAGCGTCGTCTCTTTCAGAGTTGGTAAATTTGAATTTGTATGGGAAGGAAACAGCATCTGGATTGGACTTCGAAATCGATTATGTCTACTGGGAGTGAAAGGGTGCCTCTTTTGAATAAGGAGGTGACGATTTCATCTTAATTCTCTATCTCTCTCATGAATTTCGATGTTCCTTATTTTATTTGATTTTGATGATTAGCTATTTTTGAATGTTATTATTTCTAATTTGTGGTTGGGTTGGTATGGGTAAAGAACTTTAGTGGTGGTGGCGGCGGCGGTCACCTTTGGTAGTGTTAGTGATGGCGGCGGGAAGAGGTGGCGGTGGTGAATTAGTGACTTAGTGTTTTCTGACTATGATTGGTGGTGTAGGATGGTGGTGCAGCAGTGGATGGAGAATCCTGGTTGTGGATTTTGGGTTGTTGAATTTGAATTTGGTGAAGCAGAGGACCAAGTCATTTCTCAATCACTTTCTCTGCACAGTAGAATTTGAGGCTGGAGCTTCATATTGTGGTCTAATTTTCTGATTTTTAGCATGTTAAAAAGGAATTTAACGGACGTTTGATTCGTTATGTTGAGGTCTATTTAATTTGCATATAATGCAATATTTGTTGTTTTTGAGTTCTACAATCTTGCTAATAAACCTTTAGCTGGACAAGAATAGTGGAGTGAACCATTTTATGCCTTGAAACTGATGGAATTCAATGATAATCGTCTCGTAGGCTCAACGAAAGGCGAATGATAATACAACACCTGACAGCCCAGAAACAGGAACAGACCTTGAGCAAGGAGGGACGGTAGAGGTAACATATCAATGTCTCGACGAAATCCATTTTTATGCAACCTGTACGAAGGATGCTTACCGTCATTTTATTAACTTTGTGGTGAATTTTAGGCTGCCAATTGTTGGATTTTCAAGGGTATTCCTTCTGGTGAGTTGGAAATCTCCGTCACTTCCTATTGAGAAATAAGTCGCTTTTTATTTATTCATTTTGATTCGTTTGATGTTTATGTTAAATGGAACAGGCAAAACCAGATGCTGGAAAGCTAGTTATTGGTACGATTGCTTTGTTGGTAGCATCCACCTCTAGCCTTCTCATAGTAAGTCATTCTTCGTTTAGCCAAGATAGTTGTCGGTCCCTAGAGAGAATCTTTTGTATATATTTGGCATGTGAATACAAATTTCTGTAGTATTAGAAAAGTGGAGTCCTTGACCTATTTATTTAAATGTTTGTTTTGTGCTGTAGCCAAAATTTGGTGGTATGATAATTGACATTGTATCAAGAAATATAACGACCGCAGACGAGCAAACTCAGGCATTGACTGACATCAAGAACACAATACTAGCTATCTTGACGATTGTTGTGATTGGGTATGTCATACCAAAATCTGGCTTTTACATTATGTTTTCTAGATATCTGTGTGTGTGTGTGTGTGTGTGTTACTATTAACTTATTTTCAGTTCTAACATTTCATTCCAGTTCTATGTCCACAGCACTACGTACATGGTTATTTTCTTCAGCTAGTGAAAGGGTCGTCGCTCGTTTAAGGAAGAATTTGTTTAGTCATCTGATACAACAAGTAAACACCCCCGTATCAGTATATAATTTCGAAAAAAATAAGCAATTGACTTCTTGAATTTTTATGTGGCATAATTTTTTTTTATGCAGGAAATAGCATTCTTTGATGTTACTCGGACGGGTGAACTCCTTAGCAGGCTATCCGAAGACACCCAAATCATCAAAAGTGCTGCAACAACAAATCTGTCAGAAGCACTACGCAATGTAACAACTTCCCTAATCGGCATTGGCTTCATGTTTTCATCGTCGTGGAAATTAACATGTGAGTGGTTCATTGTTCCACTTATCAATTAAAAAAAAAATCAAACTCACAAGTGATATCTATTTTTTATCAGTGCTGGCTTTGGCTGTGGTTCCGATTATCTCAGTCGGTGTACGTAGATTTGGGCGCTACTTAAGAGATCTGTCGCATGCAACACAAGCTGCTGCTGCTGTAGCTGCATCAATTGCAGAGGTATAATAATATTTGATGGTGTGACCATTATACCCCTATTACTAAGATAAATTATGGCTATTTAGTTAAATTGTGATTGATGTTACAGTTCATATAGTTTTTAAATGCTAATTTTAATCCATTTACCTATTAAGCAATATATAAATTTAATTTAGGACCACATACAAATGCACATTTGACTTGCTAGTTCTGCATATACATTGCATATGGAGACAAAAAAACAATTGAACTTTTGATTTCTAGGAATCCTTTGGGGCTATTCGGACCGTAAGATCTTTTGCTAGGGAGCAGTATGCAATTTCAGGTTATTCAGAGAAAGTCAACGAGACATTGAAGCTTGGACTCCAACAAGCAGTGAGTTCCTTACACAGAATTTTCTCTCTTCGGTTTCATGCTAAAAAACTATTGCTAGAAAGAATGATGATCTTTGGTATTTAAGGTTTCCTGTCTTTTTTTTTTCTTTTTTTTCTGGGTGCAGAGAATGACTGGTTTATTCTTTGGAGGATTAAATGCGACATCAACTTTATCTGTCATTATAGTGGTGATATACGGAGCTTACTTGACAATAATGGGCCACTTGACTGCAGGATCTCTAACTTCCTTCATTTTATATAGCCTCACAGGTAATTAGTCATTTTATATAGCCTCACAGGTAATTAGTTACACTTGCCTAATTACGATTGTACTGTTGACTCGCCTTCCACAATGCCGAGATCTTGTTTCTGCATGATCAAGTGGGAAAAAATAACGAGTTCCTATATAAAATACTAAATTTGGTGAGAAACTATGGGGAGGAGGCAATGGCCCCCGTGGCCGTATATAGCCAAAGCTTAATAGCCACTCAGTTTTATAACGCTTAATGGTCCAAAAATATATTTTTTTCTGCAGTTGGATCCTCAGTATCCTCGTTATCGGGATTATACACTACGACGATGAAAGCTGCAGGAGCAAGTAGAAGAGTTTTTCAGATTCTGGATCGTGTCTCGGCCTTGCCAGAATCCGGTGACAAATGCCCTGTGGGGTTAGTTCTTGCTTTTATCCAATGGAAATACTAAATTGGCATTTATATAAATACATGGGCAAAATATTGGTTTTTACACTAATATTATACAGTTGAAACTGTTAGTCATCTTAGTTATAGACATTATTTTATTTTTCCGGTAGTAATCCAGATGGAGATGTGGAAATCAATGATGTATGGTTCGCTTATCCCTCTCGCCCGAGTCATATGGTACTCAAGGTATTGAACGTTTACATCATTAATTTCAAATCATAAAATTTGAATATATTTTACATAAATGCCCTTGCTTGGATTGCTGAATGCATTCTTTAATTTGCAGGGAATAACATTGAAACTCAGCCCCGGATCAAAAGTCGCTCTTGTGGGTCCAAGTGGTGGAGGAAAAGTACCACTCTTATCATTTTTCTTCTCCCATTTTTCATCGCTATAACTAAATTCAGTTCTCGAATATTGCTAATTAGAAATTTTAGAAATAACATTTTTTTTTCTTCGCCCGTGTTTTTTGTGGTTGCAGACAACAATAGCTAACTTAATCCAAAGATTCTATGATCCGATTAAAGGAAACATTTTGTTGAATGGGGTGCCCTTGGTCGAAGTATCTCATGAATATCTACACACAAAGGTAATGCTGCCAAAGTGCCAAAGTTTATTCTGCCAATTCTTACTTGAATTGTTTTAAATAAACTAATATTTGATATTTGTATATTTTATATTATAGATCAGTATAGTGAGCCAAGAGCCTGTTCTTTTCAACTGTTCAATAGCAGAAAACATTGCGTATGGCTTTGATGGCAAAGCAAGCGAATCCGACATTGAAAGCGTAGCTGTAAGTTCAAATTCTCCTTCACTTTTTCTTTTTTCTTTTTCTTTTTGTTGTCCTTCAATTGTTCATTGTTCTAAATTTCTCTGTTTTGTTTCGTCAATATTTGTTTTGGTGCAGAAAATGGCGAATGCTCATGACTTCATAATATCGTTTCCAGAGAAATACAAAACTATTGTGGGTGAGCGTGGGTTGAGATTATCGGGTGGTCAGAAGCAAAGAATAGCAATTGCAAGAGCACTCTTGATGAACCCTAAAGTTCTTTTACTAGACGAAGCCACCAGTGCTCTCGATGCAGAGAGTGAATATTTAGTGCAAGTAAGTTAACGAATATTTCCAACTTTTTCCGATTCTTCAATTGTCTGGCTCGTTTTCAATGTCACGGTAGTGAATATTTTTACTAAAATATAAATAAGGATCACTCCAACACCTTTGGGATGTGTCATTTGTTTTGACACTGTTTTGACTCTGTAAATTGTCGTTTCTTAAAATAGACAAATATTTGTCTGCTTTCTTAGATTCTTCTCCCAAAAGATCTTTTCCGATCAATTTTCCGTTTTCTAACTTTTAGTTGCAAGTGCTCTACTTCATTTCTTTGCTCATTATTATTTTTTTCTTTCTAGGATGCAATGGACTCTTTAATGAAGGGCAGGACTGTGCTTGTGATAGCCCATCGGCTTTCGACAGTAAAAACTGCAGACACGGTTGCAGTGATAGCTGAAGGCAAAATAGCTGAAAGTGGAAGCCACGACGAGCTTTTGAGCAGAGATGGAATCTACACTGCACTTGTCAAGAGGCAATTACAAGCACCTAGAGATGATGAATTTTAAGACCCCCTTGTCTAACATTCACCAAAAAAATAATTTTAGCCTCGAAGAGTGCTATTCAAGGTGCTGTAATTCCTTTTAGATTCACAATACTACTTATTTGGGATAATCCCAAGTAGTTATTCAACCATTTTGCTCATTCTTTGAGCCAAACAGTAGGCTCTTACGTAAAATACGCACGTAAAATTTAGAGGTAAATGAAATGAATCGGCTTATGAGTTTTATAAGCTGTCTCGATAGTAGTTGATGTTCAAATCTGTTTTTAGTCGTTCATGGACCCACGAGCAACTAGCAAGCTTTTATATTTTTAAAATTTTATATTAATATCAAAATTAACTAAAGAACTCGAACTTTGAAAATAGAAACTCAAGCTCAGTCGAGCTCGTTATATGCTGAAATACACTAGGAGATCTTCAACTTCATTGTGTCCACATGTAGATGCCACAAAAGGGGAGGGAGAAAAAAATCGAACTATTAATTAAATGGGAAAGAGGTTCTGTTAGTCGAAAACAAATATGACAATAATGTAACACTGACATGGAATGAAAGAGAAAATACAATTCATGTAGCTCTCGAAAACAAAATTGGGCAAAAATATGTAGTCTAAAAATAAGCTACAAAAAAAACAAGGTCCACAGCAACTCTTAACACCGTCACAACTCTGTTGAGAAAAAGATTCTATGAATAGGTAGAACTTTTGGGTAACAGTTCAGTTGACTTGCAGCAAGATTAACGATAATGGCTCTCTCTCACTAAGACACAACAACAAATCTCAACGAATGGTCAAACCCTGCACTGCTTGGGTGCTATCTTCGGTTATTTTGTTCGCTTGAATGGTGCTTATCACATTCGTAATGTTCCCCTGAACGAAATATTCACATCAAAGTAAGAAACTAAGCCCATTGTATAATAGATTTGATATGATAGTCTAAATTTAATTACCCTCCAAGTTGCAAGCTTTGTTCGAAGGAATTCCCATTCATGATGCCCAAAAACGCGCTCTGTGCTCCGACTGCACCAAACAAACATGATCCCATATCATAAACTGTATCCACCATAATCTTGCACAAGATATCAGATTATTAGTGCTGGCTCTACATACCTAACAATAACTACTTGATTGATCTGGTCGATTCTGCAATCTATCAACTTGGATGTAATTGCCTTGACAATCCATGGCTCCACCTCATTGTCTTCAATCTATACAAAAATATGTCGCTTGAGGTAACATAAATGTAAAAAACGAAAGACTGTTTTTTCACAATAGTTGACTTTACCTGGAGTGTGTCCTTAATCAAGGAGTAAGGAATTTGACCAGATTCGCTTGTGGCGAGGTCAACAAGAGATAACAACCTCATCTTAGCAACACAATCTTCATGCACAAGACCTGCACCAGTCGAACGGAACAATATCCAGCAAAACATATTATATACATACTACACGAGGCTAAAAAAATTAATACATGGGCTAGATGAGGTAAATACGAAGTCAATAAGGCATACCATAGCTCTTCAATAAATCGGAATTCGATGAATGGAAAGCCATATATGCATCGAGCCTCTGAGTGAGAAATATTTTCAGAAGCTGATACACCAGTTCATATTTAGTGTCTTTCTCAAGTTGTGCAATGGCAGGCATATCTAGTAAGTCTCCCTGGTGCAACAAAGATATGAAAAATCATTTAGTGATCACTCTGCAGCAACACAAATATACGTGTCAAATGTAAGATACACTACATATAGTAAATGGCTGGAAGTGAAAGCTATCATATAAAACGGTACAACATCACATGCAGCATTAGATGGGGGTAATAAGACAACGCTCTTCAGTAAACCCAAGCCAGTTGCTTATAAGAAAGGAAAAAAAAATCTTAAGAAACGACTTCTTGAAGGCACAACCCAAGTTTCCCCAAAAGTTTGTAATTTCAATTTGAAAGTTTTAATATTTTAGTTCAGTAGGCAAGGTGACAATAAAAATAGATCTCTCTGCCTGATAGGTTACTATGGTTATCAAAGAACCGATTTATCATGGATGGAGGTAAGAGGCTTATAAACACATCTGACTGGTATTTGTTTTAACTGTTGACCCAATTGAAGTTCAAGATTTATTTTAGTAGATATTGTCCTCTAGAATGTATGCATACTAATGGTATAATAAAGAAAGCTTTATCCTGAGAAATGTCCTATGAATACTAAGGAAAAGAATCCGTAATGAAAGCACATAAAGCAATGCGAACTTTCTCGTGTTTAAAGCCACTACGATTAATCCGCGGTTTTACCTGAAACATGTCAGGTGCCTTGATGAAGTCAATAACAGTGTGAACAGCTTCTTCCTTAGCTTCAGCCAAACTCAATGCATCGTCACCAGAAAAGGTATCCAGATACTTCACAAGAAAGTTAAAAGAATCCTTTGCAGAGCTGAAATTCAATATTTTGGAAAGAATGTTGGCTTTGGTTTAGCAGTCTGATATTTTATCACCCATATCCTATATACGCATTATATACACATATATAGATAGTTCTCACCTCTTGCTATCCTTCAAAACATTAGCAACTTTAAGGAAGAGATCTCTCCGATCGTTGACTCCAAGATTCCACTCCCTCAAAAAGTTATCTATCTTCTTGAAAGACGGTACAATGTGTTCGGTTACCTTTCCATTAATTGCCAAGTTGAGGGCCTTCATATACACAAAGAACTGGCTGTATGGGTTCTCCAACAGGTTGTAGAGGTTGAACAAGCTAAAGTAAACAAAATCAAAAAATGTTAAATAATATTTTGTAATATCGAGTAGCTTCGACGATTTATTGCCAAGGGCTGTGGTATCTTACATCTTTAAGCGTAGGGCAGGCTTTTCACTAGGCTGTTGAGTAACCTTTGTCGCTATAAGCTCTGCCATTTCGTGCACCTGATCAAGGCTCTCGGGCTTCTTAACAAGGTTGCAGATAACAGTGTAAATACATTCAATATCTGTAGGTAAAAACGGAAGATCAATTCAGATGTGCAAAACTACAGACGTGAGAAGATTTTAAAAGAGAGCAAACCAAAAGTTATCCTACATTTCTTGCTTAGAGCCAATTGTGATTATCAACTAGAAAAATAGGGGCGAAAGATAAGAAAAAGATATGATTTTTATTTTATTTTATTTTATTAAATTTGTACCTTTTTCAGAAGCTTTAGAGAAAATTACATCAGCAGAAGTAACCATCAAAGAAGCCAAATCCAACCACCTGTTCTGCACCATACATTCTTGTGCCTCTACGACCAATCTACTCACTTGTCCCTCTGCTACCTATCAGTACCAAATATCAAAAATTCACATCAATTTCAATTTCCAACATTTAAAATCTGATAATAATTATTAAAAAAAAATCAGCGGAAAAAATACAAATTGATTAAACTACAATTCAAAGGTTACCCAACATAGTAATATTACGATAAAAGTGTATTCATTGAAACTTCGCTCGATAAAAAAATCATGAAAAAAAAAAAAAAAAAGAGAGAGAGAGAGAGAGAAGAAAATGTTTACTTCGGGACCGGCGTCGGCCCAGGACAAATCAGCGGTGAAACGGACGACGGCGAGGGCGGGATCTTCTTCGGATGTGGGAACGACGGTCGTCATATTGTTAGGGTTTCAAGAGATCTCTGCAAATATTAGTTTTGTGAAGATGGATTGCACGGCAGAGAGCTCTTGTGTTAGAGAGAAGATGGGGATAGAGCGAGAGAGTGGAGAAACCCTAATTTTGGGGGATGGGGAGAGGGTTTGAAATGCTTTTGCAGGGTAATATTGTAAAATCACTAATATCGCATGGTATTTTGGATTAAGTTTGATTACACCCAATAAATAAATAAAGGGAAATTACGGCCACGTGAAGTAAGGTATAATTACAAGAAAAACCTTTCTTATTTGCATAATTACAATCACGCATCAATTATGTATTATTGTTTTACAAGTTTATTCTTATGATGTCAAATTTACCTAAGGATATTCTTATGATCCAATCGAACCGAACAAAAATTCGTATATGCCGATTATCAAATCGTTAATTAGGTGTGGTATTCAATTTTATATATATACTAGTTCTTCACCCGTGCGTTGCACGGAGGTCAGTTTCAAAATGAGAAATAATAATATTTAAACGATTATCTCTTTATAACAATGCCAATTCAAGTAAAACAAAATGGAAGAACATCAAAGAAAAAATATCTCTTAATTCAGAGTTGTAACATATGAAATTCAAATAAATATTACAAAGAAGAATACGCGAAGGGCGCAAACACGATGTGAAGATTAAGTGAAATCATTTAAAACATATGGTATAACTCTATCTCATGGAATGTAATCTACTACACCATGTGAATCTTGTGCAAAATAACTAACTTAACAACAAACACAGTAGCAGAGAACTAACACAATAGATATTCAAATAACCTGCAAATTTATCACTAACAATATTCAATTAGTGATGCACATTACTCAAACAACAACACAATTTATAAATATTGCAAAGAGAAAAGATGTATACGCCACTACCAATAATGATACCAATACTGATGCTAATACTGATACTCTGATACTAATATTGATACTAATATTGATATTAATACTAATACTAATACTAATACCAATACTAATACTAATACTAATACTTACTGATATTGATACTAATACTCATATTGATACTGTTATTGATACTACTAATATTGATATTGATACTAATATTGATACTGATACTGATACTGATACTGATACTGATACTGATATTGATACTGATACTGATACTGACACTGACACTGACACTGACACTGACACTGACACTGACACTGACACTGACACTGACACTGATAGTGATACTGATACTGATGTTGATACTGATACTGATGTTGCTAGTCATAGTGATACTCATATTAATATTATTATTAATTCTAATACTAATACTAACACTCATATTAATATCGATACTCATAATCATACTGATACTCATACTAATACATATATTAATATTGATACTGATATTGGTGTTGATAATAATAATAATATAATACTAATACTAATACTAATAATACTAATACTAATACTAATACTAATACTAATATTAATACTAATACTAATACTAATACTAATACTAATACTAATACTAATACTAATACTAATACTAATACTAATACTAATACTAATACTGATACTGATATTGATATTGATATTGATACTCATACTGATACTGAAACTGATATCGATACTGATATATATACTGATACCAATACATATACTTATACTGATACTGGTACTGGTACTGATACCGATACTAATACTGATACGGATACTTATACTGATATTAATACTAATATTAGTACTAATACTAATAGTAATACGGATACTAATACTATTATTAATACTAATATTAATGTTAAAACTAATTTTAATGTTAATGATACACATACTGATATTAATACTGATATTGATACTGATACCGATACCGATACTAATATTGATACGGGTACTTATAGTGATATTAATACTAATATTTGTACTAATACTAATACTATTACTAATACTAATACTAATACTAATATGAATACTAATACTAATACTAATACTAATAATATTACTATTACTAATAATGATATTAATACTAATACTATTATTAATATTATTATTAATACTAATATGTTAATGCTAATACTAATTTTAATGCTAATGCTAATCTGGATATACTAATTATTATGCTAATGCTAATTATAATTGTAAGTCTAATATTATCCAAATCCTTATCCTATTCCTAATCCTATTCATAACACTAATCATAATTCTAATCCTAATCCAAATCATAATCCTATTCCTTACACTGATCATAAGCCTAATAATTCTAATACTAATAATGTTAATGCTAATACTAATGTTAATTATAATTCTAATATTAATTATAACTCCAATCCCAATCCTAATGCTAATTATAATCCTAATACTAATATATGTCACTAAGTATCGTACTAAGCATAATCATAATCTTAATATTAATTATAATATTATCTTAATCCTTATTACAATTCGAACCCTATTTCTAGTATTAACACCGATACTAATTCAAAGAATATTAATTATAATGCTAATATTAATCACAAATCCTAATCTTGCATCATTTTTTTTGCAATGATCTATTATTTTGTATAAAAAAAAACAATTCTATCCAATCTCGAATCTTTATATCAAATTTCTTATGTGCGGTAGCTGAAGCATCAAAAAACACATATTCAATATATTAGAAATTAATATTTAATTATACTATCAAACTGACATTAAAAGTATTTAAAATATTATAAGGGTATAAATAAACGTTACGACGTAAAAGAACAATAATCGTTGTTAATAAGATAAATTATGAAAATCCTCCTGAACTTAGGCTAAATTCTAGAAAACACCCCCACTTATCGGTGATTACCAAAATTCCCTTGATGTTTGTTTCTATCTTACACGACCCCCTTATGGTGTGATTTTTTACGGAATCTTTTTTATTCCATGTAATATCCCAAAAAATATGGATTCTACCCTAGCAGACGTGACATTTCTTTTATCGTACTTTTTAAATACCAAAATTACCCTCAGGGTGGTCATGGTAATAATAAAAATTTGTGAAAGTGTTATTGAAGAAGAATAAAGATTTCTTGTAAAGTCCTCACGAGGGTAATTTTTGTATTTAAAATGTACCATAAAAAAATGTCGCGTGTGCAGGGTATAATCAGCATTTTTCGGGGAATATTCTACGTAATAAAAAAAGTTCCTTGAAAAATCATACCATAAGGGGGTCGATGTAAGACGGAAACAAACATCAGGGGAATTTTGGTAATAACGAATTTGTGGGGGTGATTTTCTTCATTTAGCCTAAGTTCAGGGGGTTTTCATAAGCTATCCTTGTTACATACAACTTAAACTTATTTACACGTATGACCATATGTTAGAAACTAACGTGAAGGCTGATGTTATTGAAAATAGATCAAATTTCAAGTAAACAAAAGTCACTATAAAATGCTTATATAAATAAAAAATGGAAAAATAAAAAATTAATTGGGTTTTTGTGTAAATCAGTCGAATATTGTGATTTAAAAAAAACATAGAGATATAAAATCGATACAAAGATTCTTATAAACATTATACAATAAATAATTTCATTTTACAAATATTTTAAAAATGGAAATTAAGAAAATAAATATAACTTATTATATATGATAGGGAAATAGAAAACTTAAGAATATTTCACTAATTTAAATACATAACTTGTAAATTAGACAAAAGAACTCATGTATTCTAATACCAAAATATAGTGAAATATATACAGTGTTAAAATATTTAATAATCATTTACGCTATTATACCCTACATTAATACTTTTATTTTCATATGGTTTAAAATTTTAATTTAAAAATTAGTCAGAATATTTGTAGCTAAACATATTTTTTCCAATAATAGGTTTTCTATATCTTTCTTTACCCACACTATAGGATTGTAGTAAATCTCATATAAGTTCGATATGGTACCAATATCATGCCAAATGAAATGATAACCATTAAGTTGGTATTTGATAGGTAATATTTTGTTGGTATACTATGATTGATTCTTAATATTTGATAATTTTTTCCATCCATAACCACAATATTGCATCAATCTTTCTCAATTTGAAAAGACACACACATAAATTATGCAATTATTTCTCATATAATTGTAGTCGTTTATGTAATATATAAATATCTTATTGAGTTTGTAACTAAAAATGGATCGTAGAAACTACTTATTTGTCGATTGATATTGTATTTGTTAATATATACTATTTACGGCAAGAGCACCTCGAGTGGCGTTATTAAATGAGCTATCAAAACATTAATTAACCACCATTTTCATATGCAAAAATAGTAATTTTTAATTCCAATAGTGTTATGAAATCATGGTTGTATTTTGATATTTCATCTTTCAGAATGTAAAACTACATTATGCAATCATGCATAATAAATTATCAAATATGAGTTATAAATTTAACCACCTTAGTGTCCATTTTGAAAAATAATATGTGGCAATTACAAATATAAATAAATTTAATTATATTTAATTAATAACTATTTAATACATATGGTTGGAGCTAATACATTTAGATAAATATCAAAATAAAATATTAAATAGCACATAAATATTTGCAAACTCATTTTGATACTTTTGGGTTGGAGTTGGTCTAGATATTTACTTATACCAAGTAAATATTTATCATAGTTATAATGAAATACTTCTTAGTGGAATACAATATATAATATATACAATCATTATACATTTTAAACAAAACAATTGATATTTCTAATGTTTGGAATTAAATAAAGTGAATCAACTAATTTAATACCAAAGATTTAGAATAACATTGTTATATTTTGAAATATATAAAATCAATTCGTTTTTTATCAATTAATTAAACTTAACTTATGTTATTCAATTTATTAGTATAATCATGATAAAATTATTATTTTAATTACTATATAATTTTAAAAAGTTAAATCAATTGTAAAATTTATTGTCACTGGATTCAGTGAAGAAAAATTAACTGTTTAAATAATAACATGAAATTCATGTAGTACTTTTGAATATGGTAAATAATTGGAAGTACATTACTCTACACATGTCAAAAAAAAAAAAATAGTGTCAATTTTCGCAATATAGTAAATTCGAACATGTTTCTTTCTTTTTTAGATATAATATTAATATATAATATTAAATTCGTAAAAAAAAAACGTATTCTTTGGTCATGTTCATGTAAAATGTGTAATATCAAATAATTTATTTTGCAATATATTTTAATATAAATCCAAGGTTACGAATTAAAATACAAAATTTATGTAACACCACCAATCATGCAATTATAATAGGGGAATATTGCTCCAACTTACCACCTCCGAAACCAGTTGAGCTACACTATCTTGAATTTAACTAAATTCAAATTAAATTAATTATAAAATTAAATTAATTATAAAATTAAATTAAAAAATAAATTTTGTTTAGAGCTTCCAAGAAAGTTGATATATTTAGAGTATTTTATAAATGGTAGGATATAAATATATTAATAAAATAATTAAATATATTTAATTACCTTTAATTTTGGAAAATGATGACATGTTTTTTGATGATTTATTTCCACCAATCAATTCGCCACCTGGGATGAAATTGAGGACATGTCATCAATTGAATTTGCCAAATGTCAATCAATTAGGTGTGCAATTCAACTTTTATATATTATATAGATTAATTTAAAAGACAAAACGGAAATAAACAAAACATTAATCTTTAATCGTGATTTGATCATGCGATTGTGCTTTAAAGTGGCTAGAAAAACACATGATCTGTTTTTTTTTTTTGATTTAACACTTTTGTGAGACGTGCCGTTAAACAGTATCAAACGGTTGGAAAAAAAAAAGGAGTCTTGACTGATTAAAAGTGGGATTTGAATTTGCAATCATATAAAAAAAATTAAAATTAAAATCATAGGTTTATTAAATTGCTTTTGGGATTAGTGGTATCCAATTAAATTAATCATATGGAGGAAATTAAAGCAAATAATCAATATAGGCTTTTAATTATAAAAAAAGATTTAATATAGGCTTTTGAGGAGAAAAAACATTTCCTAGTTCTATTAATCAAATAATTATTCAAATAATTAACACAAAGTGTTTAATCCAATTAATCATTAATTTAGAGTTTAAACCAAAAGAAAGAGGCAAACAATGATTTATTTATTTTTAGTGAGAAAGATCAAAGATCCAATCTTTACTTTAATTTCAAAGAATCAAAATCCAAAAACCAAAAAAATAAAGAATTGAATCGAAACAATAGTTTAATTTCAACTCAAATCGCTACTGTATACAAGAAAAACCCCATCTGAGATTGGGGGCAAAATAGTACAAAATTGTGAAGATCTAAACCCTAATTTCTCCGTTTCCACATCTAAGCTGCTATTTACACTCCAGAAGAACCCAAGAACAAAAAAAAAAAGGAAAATCAAAATAAAAATCAATCGTGATAGCAGAGAAGCATAACGACGCATCGTCTAATTATGTAAAGTTTAGCCCTTTGTTCCCGAAGTACCCCTCCGAGCCCTCGGCTTGAAATTCTCGATCTCTTGCTGCTGCTGCTGCTGTTACTGCTGCCGCTGTTCATCATCATCTTCATATTTGATTATGTTTTCTTCTTGCGAAGAGAGAGAATTTTTCTTTCGATTTGGGTGAGATTGCTGAAATTGGAATTGGAATTGAGAATTGGGAATTGGAATTGATTGAGAGTGGAGATGGGAATTGGGGGTATTTTTATAGGGTTGAATGTGTGGGGAGTGGGGTAATGGGTTTTAAATTGGGATTGGTCGAGTAAAGAGACAACTATGGGGCATCAAAGGCCGTGCGTTTGCCCCCTTTCAGTTTATCTGTGGGTCCCACTACCACCCCCAACTTCGGATTCCTTTCCCCAACACTACAAAAACAATTATTTTTTCATAATATTTTTTGATTTTTTTTATTTTTATTTAGTTTTAGGTACAATTTTATATAGTTTTGGAAATAAGAATTGGCATGGTTTTTTTTTTATGAGTTGTCCATGCGAGTGAAGATCGGACGGATCAGATCAGATTTGAACTGAACTAGCATTTCTGAGAATATTCCCTTTTTTTTCGAAAGTGAAATTAGTTTCGAATATCTTCATCAAAATCTTGGAAAATTTGAAGAATGGTAATGAAAAGCTTTTAATACATGTTTTCATTTGAGAAGCTATATGAAATTTGAGCTCGAACTCAATTATATGTACAAAAAATCAAATTACTCTTGTTCGACTTGTGTTCGCCTCGATTCATTTGCTCATCAAATTGATGCGGTTAGTAATAAATTAATTAGCACAAACCACCTCAATATATTCTTTGAATCCACATCAATCTTTGAGAATCTTCTTCAATTGGGCAAATGAGGCGTTTCATTCGTCACAAATACACGTTAGGGTGCCGAAATTTGATTCCACATATTTGATAGAGAGAATCTCAAAGACCAAAATACATAAAAAAAAAAGTTATATTGTTTAATAAATATTGGTATATTATTGGATGTTTATTTTATTTGTATAAATTTGTACAATAGGGTCCAAAGCTATCCACTATTTATTTTATTATTACAATTAATTATTTAATTAATTTGTTTTGTTTTAATCACTAGGGGCTGTAGGGTTTACCTACCAACATAATGGGTCGGCCATTTTCTTGAATCAGGTAACACAATTCCATAGTTTATGAGCTGCCTTGCAATATGTTGATGATAGAGTGATATATACATAATTAATTGGTGGAAATTGGACTTATTCATGTATATAGCTATTTATTTAACATTTTATTATATTTATTTTAATTTTATTGTTGAATCCAACTAAAAACAGGCAACAAGACAATTGGGATTATAATTCAGTTGGATCTTACTTAATATGGCATGTCTTAAAGTACCATTTTATTAATCTTTAATTAATTTGGTGACAACAATTGTTTCCTCTAGCTTTTTTGACTAAGCAATTATGTAGGAAACATAGATCATGTAATGATTTAAATTAAATCTTTATTATTGTGGATATGCCAAATTTTATTTCTAGAACAAGATAAGATGCCTATAAAAATAATTATAATAATTATTCCTATTTATACTTTAGAACGCGTACACTATCTGCACATGTTTAGACGAACAATCAAACACTAAGATAATGAATTAGAGGATTAGTAAGATAAAATAAATAATCAACCACTAATCCATTATTAATAATCATTTAATCGTGATTTAATTTAGGTATGTTGCTCCAATGATTAGTAAAAAAAAAAATCTCAAATTTAGACAATGACCCCCTAGTACATGTCCACTAGACCACTACACTACACTACACAAACAATTGTTACACATTTCCACTCAACTCTTTCACTAATCACCGCATAATTACCTTAATTAGGCAATAATTAAATAAATAATTTAATCCTCAAACCACTACAAATATAATTGTCAGTAATTTTACCGAGACGAAAATAACAGTAAAAAAAAAAAACCACACGTGAACAAACAGACAGTCATGGTGGAAAAAATATTTTAAAGTTTGTGTTAATAAACCAAGGAACAGTAATTCCAAACCCCAAGTATGTGTTAGAATAATTAATTAATTAATTTAAGGACAACAAAGTAAAATAAAAAAAACAATATAATTAACCCACTTGATTCGTCTTGTGTTCCTCCCATTTCACTAAGGACACCATTATCTCTCATTAACCCTAAATTTAATGAGCTTCAAGTGACTCTTAGCCTTTCTTTTCAGACAATTATGTAAAGAATGGTCAATCTTGATTCTTGTGCTATATATATATATATATGCTCAGAAGACGATTCTATACCCCGTTTCTAGATCTTTTGTCAACGGTAGCTAGATCGAGCTGGTTTACGTACGTCTCTTGTATGGTTTGCAAGTTATTACATATCAGAGTACATATAGTTAATTAGTTGCAAGTTCAATTGTTACCTTAAAAAAGAAAAAAAGAATTTTGATTATAGAACTTAATAATAAAGACAACAAAAGTAAAGAAAAAGCAATCAGATAGATCATGGAAGAAAAATGTCTGATTAATTATTAAATTAGAAATTTCAAAAAATAAAAAAATAAAAAAAGCTGCCCAATAATTAAAGAATTCTAATTTTATATAAGTAACTGTAGTAATTTAAAATTAATGTGGGATGTAGTGAACAAGAAATGCATGCCACACGTGAAGGTATCGTGGTTGCATCGGCTGTTTGTCTCTGCTATTCTCGACATTATCGAATTAATTAAACATTTTTATTATCCTTAATCCTTTTTTTAATCTAATTAATTCCCAACTGCATTAATTATTAGCTGGTCAATCACTGGTCAACTAAGGTTTGTTCATGATTAATTAGTCTGTGATATATAGCTCTACATGAGTTCGAATGGCTCATTTGCATCAGATTTCGAAGCATTTACTCAATTACTAAACCCCTGGATTAATCTAATAGCCATGCGTAATTAAATCTAATTAAACGTAATTAAACATAAACCGTGTTTTACGGGGTGCTAACTACGTAGTCAAGTCGCGCATCACACAAAAAATGATTATAATTCATGCAGTCGGACAAGCCGGATCGAATGTCGATTTTCGACACTGTCTCACTTCAGACAACAAACTCCAGCACAAAGTTAATTAGTTTATTACGACTTGGATGGTGTTTGCAAAAGCTTTTAAAAACAACTTCTGAGCATTTTATAGCTCATAATCTGTTGTTAGATGTTTGAAAGCTGCTCTAAAAATAAGCTGTTTTAAGCTATTTTTTTATAAACACTCCTACACCTGCTTTTCTATTTAAGATGATTTTTCAGAATATTTGCAAACAATCCAAACTTTTATCAATAAACTTTTGCAAACACCACCTTCATGAAAGTTTATGATTGTTATTAATTGCTTAATTATATGATTAATCAAATACATATGACACTATTCTCAGTACTTATTTTATCACATATTTTCACTTATATCCACAAAATTTACATAATAGAAACAAGTGATCATTTAATTTATATATTTACAGAAAGTTACTCCTCTCTAGGGATCCACTTGCTCCACCATATACTCTTCGTACTCCGATTCAGTTCGTCGACGCTCTCGTTTATCGTTTTTGCTATCTTTCTTTGCGCCCGAAGAGCAGAAGCAAGCGCATTCCTCTGTACACTCGATTTCTTCTTCTTAGGCCCAATATCCTAAATATTATTAAAAAAAAAAAAAAACAAAGTTAAAACTTAGGTCTCAAGTCTCAATAAATTCATTTGAATAATAACGGGAAAATTATAGTTTTCATCTCTCAAATTTGCACGAATTTCACATTTGGTCCCCTATGTTCACAAAAAAACACATTTGGTCCCTCATGTTTCAATAATTTAACGCTTTTCGTCATTTCTGTCAATTTAACGTTAGTCTGTTTAGTCATTGATGGGAACACGCTTGATTCCGTTAGTTTTAACGGAAAATTGACGGAAATGACTAAAAGTGTAGAATTTTGGAAACATGAGGGACCAAATGTGTTTTTTGTGAACATGAGGGCCCAATTGTGAAAATCGATAATAACTTGAGGAACAAAAACTGTATTTTTTCCGAATAATAACAATTTGCATGTGTGTGTGTATACAGTGTGTGTGTGTGTGTGCATATATATATATATATATATATATATATATATATATATATAGAGAGAGAGAGAGAGAGAGAGAGAGAGAGAGAGAGAGAGAGAGAGAGAGAGAGAGAGAGAGAGAGAGACACGAACCCTGAGTTCTTGAAGTTGAGCTTCGGTAAACCCGCCATCTTTTTCAGTTCCTGATCGCGCCATAAGCTGAATAGTCCATTTAGCAGCTTCACTGTAATCTTGTTGAGTTGCTCGGAAGAATTGTAGCCGTAGGCTCTGCATGAACGACAAGGCCAATAGGCCTTCTTTGTTGAAGTAGGGATGAGCTAGAGCTGCTTTAGCGCTCGTTCTCTGACGAGCTTTGTAACGAACCATTGAAGTCAACAGTTCCCAACCTCCGCCTCCGTCTAAATCCAGCAATTCGAATCCACGTCGGAGATCGGGGCTCGCACGAGGCTCGACGGTCTTTCTCCATGCTATTAGATCGTAATCGCATCTTTTTAACTGACGGTTGAATTGTATGAGAGCACTGTCCGAACGTAGTGACGGGAACGCCTATATAGAAGATATTCGTAAATTTTTTTTTACATATTTTCGTAAAATAAATTTGGAGTTTATTTCAGTCTAAATTAACTTGGACTACTACATGAAAAATTGAACATTCTTGAATAAAATTCAAGATTCACCAGCGCGTGATTTTCTCACTCTAGAAACAATTTTCCGTAAAGATAAGTTGTAGTAAATAAATTACTTACCATTTGTAGGAAAATCAGACCGGCACTATAGATGTCAAATCTGTCCGGAAGATTCAACTGGTTGGAAATGAAAATAGAACGAATTTTTTTTAATATATCCGAGTCAAATTTCATCGAAACTATAATATCGAGAAATTAATTAACGACCTGCCACAGAACAGGAGAAAGTGCCGTTGCGACGGGAGCTGACGGGGCAGAGGGGGTTTGAGTGCTCATAATATATTGTTCCGGTGCAGCATATCTTAAAAATAGAAATAAAAAAAAATCGAATAAATTACTTCGATTTCATTAATTGAGAAAATTATAAACACGAGTTATAATTAAGTAAAAAAAATTAAAATTAAAATTAATTACCTAGGATCCAAAAGAAACTCTTTGGGAATGTAATTGATGCCGACTCTCAAATCTGCAGCGGCTCCAAGATCGATGATCTTGAATGTACGAGAATCTGTTTAAACAGTTTAGAATATATTAGCACAAAATATATGTTTAATATTTTATTTTGGGGGGCTTTTTTACCTTCGGAGAAAATAATATTTTGGGGCTTAAAATCTCGATGAACGATCCCAGTCGAGTGAAGACCGTCCAATGCAAATAAGAGCTGTCGCATTACAGTCTGTACGATTATATTTTCCCTCTCCAATCCCTTGGGCATCTTCTGATCCTCTCCCAAAATCAGTGCTTCCACCTAATCGAATTTTTTTTAAATCAACGACATACGGAGATGATTTCTAAGAGAAGAAAAAAAAACGTATGATTCGAGAAAGTACGGACATTGTAAGGAAATTCTTTGTTCTGCAATAAATCAGCAAGTGTGGATTCCCCTTCAAACTTCCATATGAGCCAATATTCGGATCCTTTCTTTCCGGAATTCTGAAATATAAATATACATACACACGTAAACTCATCGAAATAATCAAAGCAAAACAAAATACTCCACATTTTAAACAATGGTTTTTTTTTCAGAATGCTAAAGCAAACCTCAAGAAAGCCGTGCACGAAATCAGCACAGCTATTCGCGCAAGCCCTTCTCACACGCTCGTTCATCCATATCTCCACCGCTCCGTATTCCGTCGCCTTCTTCAATACTACCTCACCATCCTATAACCAAAAATACAAAAAACAAACCTTACAAAATGATAGTAATACTAATATACCATGTAATTCAATAAATAAATAAATGCAATTTATCGAGAATTAATAAACGAAATCACACATACTCGAGACGAGGGTTTCTTAGTCAATGAAGCCCTATACACAACTCCAAAAGCACCCTCACCCAATTTCTTCCCCAACACAATATCATCCTGTAATTCATACAAAAAACAAATAAAAATCCAATCTTTATATTCCAAAAAAAAAATTTAAAAATTGTCGAACCTTCTTGTAACTAGGTCTAAAGATTCTTTCAACAAAGGCAAGAACAAACATGTCAAAAAAACCAGGCGCAACTCCAGGTGTAGACCAAAGGTAAGAAAGCGTGCCCAGAGCTAAAATCGCGCCGGGTATAGTAAGCGTGATTGCGTCTGATTTCGGCAGAGTGCTTCTGTATATTATATCGCCGCACTCCATTACAGTACAGGGGAGCCCAACTCCGACACCCAGAAAAAGATCGTTGAAGAGGTTGAAGATTTCGCCGCCGGATGCGAAGACGGCGAGGCTTCTGGGTCTTGATGTGGGTGGTGGTTTCCTGTGGGCGGCGGCGCGTGGGATTGGTTTGAGGGTTAGGGTTTTGCCGAGAAATGAGGAGAGTGGATTGGGGGTGAAGGAGTGGAGCTTCACTCCGCCTAATCCGATTCCGGTACCATGGCCAACTGCAGCCATTCGCAAATTCTTCGGAAGTTGAAACAATTTCTTGATTTTGATTTTGATTTTGATTTCTGCGGATTTTGGTTATCTTTTTTGGGGTATGATTTTTTTGATTTTCATTATTTTATTATTTCTGGGATTTTAAGGTGACTGTTATTTTTTGTGGAGGGAAGGAGTTTTGGTGGGGATGGGGAGAACTACAGACCACAGGTGACACGTAGGCTTACTTGGGCCAGCCATCTTTTATTTTTGTTTTTGGATAATTTTTATTTATTTATTTATTTAATTATTTAGTGTAAGTTTGATAACATTTTGCTTTCTTTCAAAAAAAAAAAAAAACATTTTGCTTGTGTATTATTGATAAAAATTACTCGAAATTCAAATGCAAAATTCTAAAAAATTATATACTCTATGAAGTGACTAGTGAGTAATACAAATATTAAATACTCCCTCCGTTCCTTTATAATTGTCGTTTTTAGCTTGTGCACAAGGATTAAAGATCTCAATAAATGTTGCTTAATTTTAGAAAAATATATGTTCTTATACTAAAATGCCCTTGCCAATAATTAATGTGAGAGAGTTTTGGAGATAGTTAATAAGGGTAAAATTGATAATTATGCAATTAATGCAGTATTGGAAATGTAAAGTGACAGATAATATGGAACAAAAATAATTTTAAAAAGAGACAGTTATTGTGGAACAGAGGGAGTATATGTGTAAATATATTTAGTTACAACAATAAATAAAGTTTTAAGAAAATCATATATAGAGTAAGTCAAGTGGTGGAGATTATCGGCGTAATCGGGCCGAGCTCGCTAATTTTTTTGAGCTCGAATTCGTTGAGCATTCATTTTATGAGCTCGAGCTCAACTCATTTATTTTTTTATTTTTTTTTTGTTTTTACTATTTTATTATAAATTATTTATAATATAAAAAAGGTTATGGAATGAAAAATAGAATTGAAATTTATTATTTAATTATATATTTAAATATATTTATTATTATATATTAGTTATATTTATATTAAAAATAAAAAAATAAAATATAAACAAATTAATACACACACACACACACACTCCTCTCTCTCTCTGCAAGCTGCCTGTAATATACATTTTGTAATATGTGAAAAAAAATAAAAAAAATTGTCCATTTGGAGGCCCAGCAAATTGGGCCAATAAAAAAGTAGCCCAGAAAAAAATTGAATCGAACCCATTTATTTATTTCCTCGTTCTAATTATATAATAAAGCCCACATGGAGTAGTAAAGAGATACATACGTTAGGAAAGTAAGCTGAGTTTTGTCAATTTCTAAATTATTTTATTTATTTTTTTATTATATTTTTAATCAATTGAGTTTTTGTCATTTTATATTCGAAAGAATACAAAGATCTGAGGTGTGCAAGTCACGGGTTGGGTTTTCAACCCAGCTTCAGATCCGCAGTTTATATTTGTTTTTTATTGATATATTTAATATATGTTAACTAATAAATACATTATGATAAAATTTTAAATATATGTTAACTATTAATTCATAAATTAAAAAAACATTATTATAATTGTTTGGTGGAAGTAAATGCGGCTTCCATTGAAGAAGAATGGGGCCCACATAAGAGATACTCCAATTCCCTACGTATGAAAAAGTTGAAAACTCAAACCTATGATCAGGTGCTTTTAAACCACTGCTACTAAAATAATTTATTATAAAAAAATCATTTCGTACCAAAAATGATTATAAATATTACTCCAATATGATTATTTGCAAAAATGTAATGCAAAATATTAGAGAACCACCATTACTTATTTTCAACATTTAATTGTGCAGGCGTTGTTAATTAATACAGCAATATCTCCATCTCTCAAGTGGAATTAATTTTCAACTTTTAATTCAAATAATTATATGAATAAAATAATTGCTATCATTCTCAATTTTATTTAGTGGGACAACAATATATTACTATATTGAACCAAAGTCAGCACACAAATGTGAAGCAATTAATTCACAGGTTTTTATTTGTTGGGGGATTCAATTAATTAAATGGCATTGAGTAGTAGTAGTAGTAGTACTATCTATATCAATAATTTAATAACACAACTGCATCCCAACGGCACCTATGCACTAAATTCAACTCCACTCTCGTGATTCATTTTCTCATCATAACTTCAAACATTATTAAATAAATAAATGCATTCATTAAAATAATTTAATCCTACATAATTTATTTCTTGTACTTGGAATTGTTTTATTTTAAAATAAATAAATAATAAAAAAAAAATTCTGAAATTCTCCAATTCCAAATTACGTCCCTGTCATTCCGTTTACTCTCGCTCTACTCTCTCTCTACAGTCTCTACTTTCTTTCTCTCTCTAGACTTTCTCTCTCTTCTCTGTTCCGTTTGTTTATGTCAAAAAAACGATATACAGCTGCACCATCATCACTGACTCACCATGTCCCGCTTCTCTCTCATCTTCTTCCTCTCACTACTACTGCACTACTCTTCCCTCTCTCTCTCCATTCCTTTCAGTAAGTCCACCACCATCGCCTCTACATACATACAGTATCTGTATATCTACGTATAACGCACTAACTCTTATTTTTGTTTTTTTCAGACTACAGTTTGCACATTGACTGCGGCGGCCACGTCAACTCCACCGACGCCTTCCACACCACCTGGCTCTCCGACCGCTTCCACTCCGGCGGCGCCACCTCCGTCGTCTCCGAGCCCCTCCACTTCCACCACCAGCAGGAGAAGACTCTCCGCTACTTCCCCATCTCCTCCGGCAAGAAGAACTGCTACTCCATCCCCACCCCCGCCGCCGGCGGCGGCGGACGCTACTCCCTCCGCACGTTCACCGTCTACGACAACTTCGACGGCAAATCCCACTCCCCATCCTTCGACGTCTCCGTCGAGGGCACTCTGGTCTTTTCCTGGCAATCCCCATGGCCCGAATCCGTTTCCCGCTCCGGCGCCTACTCGGATCTCTTCTTCTATTCAAACGATTCCGTCGTGAACCTCTGCTTCTACAGCATCGCCACCGATTCTCCGGTTATCGGATCTCTGGAATTAACCCAAATCGACCCCAATTCCTACCCCTACAACTACCCCAAAAACTCCACCAACTACATCCTGGTTAACTACGGTAGATTCTCCTCCGGTTCCGATCAATGGGGCCCCGGATTCACCAACGACACCGATTTCTTCGGCCGCTCATGGCAATCCGACGCCGAATTCCGGCTTCCATCAGTCTCCATCACAAACGGAGCAACAATCAAAGCAATCTCCGCTATTAAGAACATCTTAAACGCCGAAAAAAGCCCTAATTACTTCCCGGAAAAGCTTTACCAGACTGCAATCACCGCTTCTGGAAACGGAGGCAGGGTTCTGGAGTACGAATTGCCCGTCGATGCGAAGATGGATTACTTGCTCGTGTTCCATTTCGCGGAGATTGACGTGAGCGTGACGAAAGCAGGGCAGAGGGTGTTCGATGTGATTGTGAACGGGGATAATGCGAGCAGGATCGACGTGTATAAGGAGGTCGGGGGATTTTACGCGTACGATTGGAGCTACGTTGTCAAGAATTTGAGCAGCACTACTCTGAGTGTAAGGCTGGAATCGGTGGTCGGCGCACCCGTCATTTGTGGGCTTGAGAATTACGCAATTGTCCCCGTTGATCTCAAGACTGTACCTGAGCAGGGTACGTGTGTTCTATAATTTTTTCGATTTGTTGACGGGGATCGTTAAATTTTCGATTCGTTTTTGTGTCTGTGTGAAGAATTAGTTAATTAATTACAGAATTAGCCGTTTGGGAGTATAGTGTATATAAATATACATATAGATTGATGAAATTTGTGATTGACTTTGGATAATTTCATAGGTGATAAGCGATTTGTTCAAATCGATTGAATGAGACAATGCAGTTACAGTAATATGTAATGGTAGACATAACGAACACAATTCATCGATTTAGTATGGCAGGATCTTGACTTCTTGATTCAGTATTTACTTTGGAAGTTGAGAAAATAAGTTAGTTGAGAAGTTTGAGAGGAAAATAACAACGTAAAAGTAAAAAAATTGTGAGTTATGCTAATTGGAACGCGATGCAAAACAACCCTTTTGATAGTTTTAAGAGAAAACTTTTGCAGCTATTGCTATGAGAGCGCTCAAGGCATCACTTCATGTACCCGATAGAATGGGTTGGAACGGAGACCCTTGTGCACCTACTGCATGGGATGCATGGGAGGGTGTTACGTGTCATCCCACAAAAGACGAATCTAACCTTGTCGTCTCCCAAATGTAAGTGTTTGTTTCTTCTCTTCGGCATTTATTTTTTTATATATATTAAGGATGTAGATGGAATATTGTGCGGGAAGTTGATCCAATTGCGATAATTCTTATTACAAAGTCACGGGATTGCTGTTGATGTAACATGATTTTAGTTTAAGTGTTGTAATTTGTTAAGGGAGAAGAAATCGTAATTAATTCTTTTCGTTTTATATTCTTTTTTGCACAGAGATCTCGGGAGCCAAGGATTGAAAGGTTATGTTAGCGATCAAATTGGTTTCTTGACGAACTTGGTAAGCCTGTAAGTATCCATATTTTCTATTTCTTACTCGTTCGTTTACGTAATTGAATTATTGGTATGTCTTGAAAATAAAAGTAAGCTAGAAAGATGAATTAAGTCGAATAAATGTTTGAAATAAAGATCGTTTTACGTGCAGGAACTTGAGTTCCAATTCTTTAGGCGGTAATATACCCTCGGGATTGGGTCGAAATTCGCTCGTGAAACTGTAAGATCACTTCCTCTTGCATTTTTATTTATTTATTTGTTCATTTATTTGCCAAATATCACAAAAGATCTAAATCCTGTCGAATGTTGAAATATTTGTTGTGCTCTGTTAATGCAGGGACTTGTCGAATAACAAATTTACGGGATTCTTACCAGATAGTCTAACTTCGTCTAGTTTACAGCTTGTGTAAGTCGGAATCTTCTTCCTATTTTTTTATTTTTTTTTCGTCAAGAATTTGAAAACCGTGTAATAGCAGGTCGTGAATTTAGTACAAATTGCTTCCTTTTGGTCAACAATTTAATTAGTTGCGTTACATTTTTTGATGTTTTTCGGTAATGAATTTTAATTTATTTATGATTACTCATTATTTATTTTTCTATCTCAGGTTATTGAATGGGAATTTATTGGAAGGGCAAGTTCCCGACGAGCTTTATTCAATCGGGGTTCATGGTGGAGCCATAGAGTAAGTCTCTCTCTCTCTCTCTCTCTCTCACACACACACAATTCAGTTACATTTCTGATAGGATACATTCGTTATTACAGCCTTTCGGGTAATAAAGGATTATGCGGTGTACCTTCTTTGCCCGATTGCCCACTATTTTGGGATAAAAACGGGTTATCCACCGGGGGCAAAATTGGAATAGGCCTATCATGTCTTGTAATTATTTGCGCACTTGTGTTCGGAATATACTATATCTGCGTCAAGAGGCGGCACAATGAGTACGACTTCGGTCTACCTCATGAATTAATGTGTAAGTTTCATATATACCATTTCAACATACCGTTTTTTTTTTCCGATGAATATAACTATTTAGTGTCGAAAAGCGTGGAATTATTACGTGGATAAGTATATGTTTTTTTTTTTTTTGGACAGCTCTTGCTTCGAAGAGAAACAGGTACCATCGACAGAAATCGTTGATGACGCTCGAAATGGAAAGTCAACACGCCAAAGGGTTTATAACGACCAACGATTAGCGTCTTCTAAAAGCGGAGATCCGAAATTTTGACAGCGCTATAAAGCACCATTGCTTCAACAAAATGAAGCTGGGATTTTTATTTTTATTTTTTTAATTTTTTATTTCTAGATCAAATTGTGTAATTAATTAAAAATTAAATATGGAAGTCCTGAAATAATGTACAGTGTGACACTAGTGTTGTGGACAGTGGATGGAATCATGTGGTAATTACTAATTACTAATTAGCCTAGATTGGGCCTGGCCTTGGCCCGGCCCATCTTTTGGGCCCATCACTCATTTTAATATTGCAGGCCCATTTGTTTTCACTATGTGGAATCTTTATTATCAATATTCAACTAATATTGACAGATTAAAATTCGAAATAAATAAAGATATAAAAAAGTAATTCTATTTTTATTAATAATGATAACAACATCAACAACATTAATAATAATAATCATTTTATTGTATCATATATAAAATAAACTTACTAAAAAAAATATTACGGAGCTTGTGAGCCAGCTCAACTTTTGTCGACTCGGCTCATCGAGTACACGAGCTGGCTCAGTTCGTTTACCATCGAATCAACCGATCAGAACTTCCGGTTCAAAAGGTTGGCTGCTAAATTCAATCCTTAATCAACAACCCATATAAACACGAACCAATCACGATTGAGGATCATGATCCACTGACCCGATTAACGTGCTTCTCCGACCCAAATCGTGGCCATGTCTAATTAATTTATATATGTGCATAAATAATTTAAATTGTTGAAGTGTAATGTTTAGATATGATGTGACTTTGTTGAAGATGGCCTTGGCCTTTTCCTATCAATTTGTACTAGACTAGGGTCTTTTGATTACGGATAACAACCACATTGTTCGTAAATATTCAATGTATATATATTTATAATATTTATATAAAAAAAATACAAGGCAACCTTTAAATTGTTCTAACCCTAATTTCGATTTTAATGAATGTTGTAATGGATATTCAAAAATGGTCCCATGGCTTTATATCATGGAACAGTCTATTCATGTTTCATCTTTATCCAAATTCACAATTTTCATTGTTTTTCAACCTCATACACTGTACCTTAATTATATGGATATATTCATTATTTATTAATATTTTTATAATTCTTGAAATCAAATTTCAATAATTCAAACTGTATAAATATATTGGAGGTGACATTGGTAGATCTGTTACGGTACGATATTACCATGATATTGAGAATGTAATATCAATACCATAGTAGTTGGTAATTGTTAATATCTTTTTCCACCCATAAATACATATATATATATATATATTTTATATATAAGTAATTATATATTCATACTAGGCTTTGATCAATAACACATATCACATGGTTTTCCAACTTGCAAGGGGTCAAAAAGTAAATCAGCTGCTGAAAATTTCTAAAGTTGGTTAATTTTCTCAAGCTTTGACCAAAAAAATAAAAGAAAGTAAAAGTCAGAAAATCATTAAAATTAAAATAAATTAAATAATTAAAAAAAAAGCCATCAGATATAAGACAGCTGGAGAACATAAGAAAGTAGTACATATATGTACAAATATAGTAAAAGTAAAGATTACAAGGTTTACAGTACAAAATCTGCTAAGCCAAAAATGGGGGAATCTTTATTCTTTACAGAATTGTCAAAACTGCCAGTTATTACATCAAACATGTTATCTAACAGTACTGTATTATATTTTTGTCTTTCCAATTTTTACCATGTATATATATATATATCTGTCTTTATTATGATATATAATAATTAAATAAATATACTAATATTCATATATTCCGTAATACTATTATTCTGACTTTTTGACTCCAGAAATTAGGCAGCAAAAATAGGCTGAGTTGACTTTTCAAAATAAATGTTTTTTTGTAATTTAATTATGGAAAAACTAATGACTTTTTTTCTCAATTAGGTTTTATTAAAACATTATTTATGGTATATTCTCTTTTGACTGAACAAAAAAATTCAGAATTCTAATGATAGTAATTAATGTGAAGCGACCTTTAATTTGGATTTTTTTATATATACTAGTACTTCACCCGTGCGTTGCACGGGGTATTCATCGTAAAAATAAATATTTGATTTTAAAAAAAATTCTCGAAATAGTAAGATCAATGATATGCAATACAATTTAGTAGAAAAGTAAAAGAAAATAAAAAATATATTATGTATTGTGTAAGTAATGAATACCAGTACCAATATCAATACCAATATGAATACAAATACCAATAGGCAATACCATTACCGTTACCATTACCATCACCAATATCAATACCATTACCATTGCAGTTACCGTCACCAATACCAATACTATTACCATTGCCATTATCATTATCAATACCAATCATTACCATTACCATTACTAATGCTAATACTAATACTAATATGATAATAATACTATTACTATTAGTGTTAGTAATCCTAATGTTATTGTTAATTCTAATCCTAGTATTAACTCTAATCTTAATTCTAATACTAATCTCAATCATTGTTCTAATCCAAATTGTAATCCTAATGGTAATGCTAATCTTAATCTTAATACTAATTCAATCATAATTTTAATCCTAATAATAATACGAATCATAATTTCAATCCCTATAGAAATGCAAATATGCTAATGCTAACAGTAATCTTAATACCAATCTTTATATGCTAATGCTAATGGTAATGCAAATCCTATTCTAATTATAATTCTAATCACAATGTTGATATTAATACTAATTCTAATTATAATGCTAATCTGAATACTAATATTCATACTAATTCTAATCTTAATCATAATACTAAGTAACACTAACACTAATACTAATACTAATACTAATACTAATACTAATACTAATACTAATACTAATACTTATATGCTAATGCTAATACTAATACTAATATACTAATACTATTACTAATATTAATTCGCTAATGTTAATATTAATATACAAATGCTAATACTAATACTAATACTAATGTACTAATACTAATATACTAATATACTAATATACTAATACTGATACTAATATACTAATACTAATATTAATATACTAATATTAATATACTAATACCAATACTAATATACCAATACCAATACGTACCAATACCAATACCAATACCAATACGTACCAATACCAATATCAATACCAATACCAATACCAATACCAATACCAATACCAATACCAATACCAATACCAATACCAATACCAATACCAATACCAA